TTTTTTCTATAATAAAGGCATTGTGTTTTATTGTCAAAAGTGAAAAAGCCAGAAATTTTCGTCGATTTCGGATGCCGCGGGGGATATTTACATACAATGTCACCCTGCTGGCCTGGATCCACCAGTAGGGTCAGGTGACCTACCATTTCTTTATCAATATTCAAAAATAAATAAATAAATCATGGCATCAGAGCTGTGACGAAAAATAAGTGGCCTAAATCCGATGAGAAAACTGGATTTGGGGGTACCCCAGGTTTGGCTTCTGAGCCTCTGGTCCCCCAAAGAAAATTTCTTAGAGGAGGCCCTGGCGTGGTTCGTAAATTACCGCTTCCGCAATTGGAGGCCCCTAATTGCTTGGAGGCCCCCACTAAATGGAGGCCCCCTTGGACGTTTGGGACCCCAATGGTGATGTCAAAGTTTCACCCATGCCCGTCCTGTTCCGGTGGCCAGCGCCAGGCGGGAATGGGCTGTGTGCTCTGTTCATTGTGTGCTTTGTGACCTGTGTGCTCTGCGATGTGCGCCCTAACGTGTGACGTGCGCCCTAATCCTCCGATCAGCAGCGGCGGGCTGCCACCAGCACTGTCTCGCCGACCGGTTTGTGGTGCCGGTCGCAGCTGCGGGGTCGTGCTCCCCTCTCCGGTACCAGCTGTGTCCTCCGGCCCCGGCCCCGGCTATCTCGGAGTAGAGAGAGTCTGTGCGTCCCCCGGTCAGGTGCCGGCCACCCGGGACAGGTGTCTGTGCGGGCCGCGGCAGTGGACCGTCGGCAGTCGACCTCCCTCTTTACCCGCTCCTGCCCGGTGTCAGCTGCGGGCCGCGGAGGTGGTCGCCCTCCCCCTGTGCCCGGTGTCAGCTGCTGGCCGCGGAGGTGGTCGCCCTCCCCCTGTGCCCGCTTCTGCCCGGTGGCAGCTGCGGGCCGCGGAGGTGGAACGGCCCCGTTAGCGGTGTTTTGTTACGACGCCATGCGTCCCATAAACTTTTAGTCGTGAGCGTCCCAACTTCCTTTTTTATCAAATAGGTATTAGAGATTTACCAAAAGGGACATTGTATTTACTAACACAAAGGAGACCATGTTGATGTCACTACTGCCACTGCCCACTTCGATCGAAATAAGGAACTCTACCGCTATACTGGGAACGTAAGGAACTCCTACCGCTATACCCGGGTCACAAGAATCTGTACCGCTATGTCCATTTCACGTGATAAAGTGCATATTTATGCGCCGTATCAAGCGCGGGGTTATTCATGGTCGCATACATCAGACTAGCGGAGCCACGGCTGAGTTCCGGCTGGTAACTGACGGTCCAGAGCCACTGCTGAGTTCCGGCCGGTAACTGACGGCCTGGTCCGGCTGGTAACTGACGGCCCGGAGCCACGGCTGAGTTCCGGCTGGTAACTGACGACCCGGTCCGGTCCGGCTGGTAACTGACGACCCGGTCCGGTCCGGCTGATAACTGACGGTCCGGAGCCACGGCTGAGTTCCGGCCGGTAACTGACGGTCCGGTCCGGCCGGTAACTGACGGTCCGGTCCGGCCGGTAACTGACGGTCCGGTCCGGCCGGTAACTGACGGTCCGGTCCGGCCGGTAACTGACGGCCCGGTCCGGCCGGTAACTGACGGCCCCGCCCGGTCCTACGGCCGGCTCTGAAGTCAGGCGGCGGACGGCTGCGGCTGATGTGGGGCGCGATAAATGTATTGCCGGGGACTACTAACTCAGACTAACGGGAGACAAACGACGACTGACTGAATGGGCAAACGCCGACTAACGGGAGATCAACGACTGACGGGAGACAAACGCCGACTAACGGGAGACAAACGCCGACTAACGGGAGACAAACGCCGACTAACGGGAGACAAACGCCGACTAACGGGAGACCAACGACTGACGGGAGACAAACGACGACTGACTGAATAGTCAAACGCCGACTAACGGGAGATCAACGACTGACGGGAGACAAACGCCGACTAACGACTAACGGGAGACCAACGACGACTCTTGGGGTCTAAATGCCGGAAGGGCGTTGTACCCAAAGCTCAGCGACACGGCCCCACTAGCCCAGTGTGTGTTGTGCGCTCCATCCCTACACTGTGGTCCCCGGCTCGCCCGCTCCAGTGCAGTGGTACCGTGTGTGGACTGTGGGTGGGGTCAGCTGTACACTGTTGGTCCCGCTCGCCCGTTACAGTGGTACCGTGTGTGGACTGTGGGTGGGGTCAGGTGTACACTGTTGGTCCCGCTCGCCCGTTCCAGTGGTACCGTGTGTGGACTGTGGGTGGGGTCAGGTGTACACTGTTGGTCCCGCTCGCCCGTCCCAGTGGCACTGTGTGTGGACTGTGGGTGGGGTCAGCTGTACACTGTTGGTCCCGCTCGCCCGTCCCAGTGGTACCGTGTGTGGACTGTGGATGGGGTCAGCTGTACACTGTTGGTCCCGCTCGCCCGTTCCAGTGGTACCGTGTGTGGACTGCGGGTGGGGTCAGCTGTACAGTCTGTCTTAAAAGTACCGCGCAAAGTGACGGTGGATCCATCGAGCCTCACTGAGCAGGGGCCTGCTAAATTTTGATCACCGAAGCAATGGACATCCTCGTCCATTCCCTAGGTCAATTGGTCGGTGACTTTCAAATTAAAGCAGGCTCTTTATCGGTCAGGCTTGAAGGATCCACCGTCACTTTGCGCGGTACTTTTAAGACAGACTGTACACTGTTGGTCCCGCTCGCCCGTTCCAGTGGTACACTACTGTGTGTGGACTGTGGGTGGGGTCAGCTGTACACTGTCGGTGGCTGGCGCCGCTGAGCGGCCGGACGCTGCCAGCGGCGGGCGGGCGCCGACGCCGACAGGACCATTTCAGTGTCCACCAGACACCGGAGCTCACAGAGGAGGTGCCGCCATCAGCCCGCCCGGCGACACTCGAGTGGCCCAGGGGCGTCCGGCTGGAATCCTCCGCCAATCTCGCCGAGTGCCGCCTGCCTTTTACGGCTCGGCTCCGACAATACGGCGGTGACGGCTGGGCTCCGACAATACGGCGGTGACGGCTCGGCTCAGACAATACGGCGGTGACGGCTGGGCTCCGACAGAACGGCGACGGTTCGTCGAGCCGCTCCTCAGAGCTGAGACGGGCCGCCGAGCCGGCGCCGGTGCTGCCTTATCGCCGCTGTCGCCCGACCATCTCTCCCTTCCATCTCCCTCTGCACCAGACCATCTGTCCCGGCTCCTCGCTCCGTCCAGCAGCCTGTGACGCCGCCCTCTGCCTTTCCGTGTCCGGTGTCCGGTGTCCGGTGTCCGGTCCGGTGTCCTGTACCGTGTTCCGTGTCCCGTGTCCCGTGACCGGTGTCCTGTGCCCGGTGTCCCGGTGCCCTGTGACCGGTGATTGGTGTCCTGTACCCTGTGTCCTTGTGTCCGGTGTCTTGCACCGTGTCCTGTGTACGCTGGTCGCAGTGGCTGCTGCAGCCCTCTGTCACGTGCGTGTTGTGGGACTGCTCTGAAAGTGCTCTTCTTGTGTCGGTGGTAAGTGTGCACCGATTTACTTTACTCACTGCTACAGTTCGCAAGTAACTAGCGAGTAAGTCCTGTCACGAATGCAGTATGCCCCGCCCGGCAGTATGCCCAATATTCCCAGTTGGTTGTCTGCTCTCCCTCTTTACCAATTTGAGACTCATGTTTATGTGGCACTGGCGGACTTCTGTAGTTGCACCGGCACTGCCAACGTTTTTTATTTACACTGCTTCCCGGGCTACGAAATGTTTGTTCGTCTAATGAACAACAGCGATTGACTGTAAACTGAAGGTGTTTTCCTCTGCTGTCCGACTGTGCGTTAGCCGTTATCGGCGTCTGTTTTCCTCTGCTGTCCGACTGTGCGTTAGCCTTTATCGGCGGTTTGTTTTCCTCCGATGGTGGTGTGGCCGCCGGAGGCCGCTGACCGCCGGCCGTTGGCACATCGAGACCGTTATTGGCGCGGATGTGTGTACGGGACCGGCGGTCTTATCAGATCGGAACTGGTGGGCTGGTGGCTGGTCCAATGCTACCAGGTGATGGAACTGAAGACCATCTCCAACCAACTCACGGTCCCCAGTGTTGTGCTCCGTCCCCGTCCGGCGGACCCGCGGACACTGGAGCAGTGCGGCACAGCCTACCTGTCAGGCGGCGCCAGTGCTGCCATCTGTGGCCGCGACTTTGGACTGTTAGTGCGGGTTGGCGCCGCTGGAGCGCACGGCGCACGCGTCGGGCCCGCTGCGGACTGTCGGACGTCGGTACATTTTGAACTCTCCGTTCAGGTGTGTTTTGGGTGGGCGCGTTATGCAGTTGGGCCCGCCGGTCCGCGGGCCTGACCCGGCCTCGATCGCTGCCACCGGCCGCCGACCAGCGCCGGCTGCGCCTCGGGGCAAAAGACGAGCGCCGCCGCGGCCCGGAGCAAAGGACCAGCGCCGCCGCGGCCCGGAGCCGGCCCTGCAGACGAGAGTAGCTGTCGGCGGGACTGCTCTCCCATAACAGCCCACCGTACTCTGTCCGGCCGCACGTCTCTGCACTGACCATTCGGCTGGCTGCACCGACGGTACCAGTTCTACCGTCTAATATATCCAATCAAATCTAGATAATGTAATGCATAAAGTCGGCTCTAGACACGGACCAATATATCCTGTATTGTGAAACCAGATTCGCCGCGCGCCTCTGCGACCGAAAATTCATGACTCATCCATTTCTGCCTGCAATATTGGCTGTTGAGTCGGTTAGCTGGGTACTTTGTGCTGTCCCGACACCCCAGTGGGGTCCCCCCAGTCTCATCACAGGTCGCCCACGCCGCTGCAGTGTGTCCGCCTGACCCCTCCCCCTGTCCTCAGGTGTCCGCCGTCCGGCCCCCTGCAGTGTGTCCGTCTGACCCCTCTATCCCCCTGTTGTCCTCAGGTGTCCGGGCCGCTGCAGTGTGTCCGCCTGACCCCTCTATCCCCCTGTTGTCCGCAGGTGTCCGCGCCGCTGCAGTGTGTCCGGCTGACCCCTCCCCCTGTTGTCCTCAGGTGTCCGCGCCGCTGCAGTGTGTCCGTCTGCTCAGCTCTCAGCCGGGCGGCCCGGGCGCGCTGCCCACGGAGCCCACGGTGGGCCCGCCGCCCGATCAGCTGGATACCACCCCGGTCAAGCGCTCCATCTCGCCCTCACTGGCCGAAGGTAGGCACTGGCGGCCAGCCGTCACCGTCACACTGCCGTCACATACCGTCACATACCGTCACACTGACCGTCACACTGCCGTCACGGCGGGCACTCGTCACAGGTCGGGGCCAGAGTCGCACCCGACTTCGATCCGGGAACTTTAACTTTACTCGTATTATGTATTTTGATCACTGACTAGATGGAGAGGCATCTCTTGTCTATGCATATGTATTGCTGTACCTCGTGTGTATTCTGTTGTCCAAAAGCAATCACCTTTTTACTTTAGTTAAATTAAGATTTCGAAAAGAAACATGGCAACTAGGCACAGTGCCGTGGCCACTGTTCAGCATGTATTACACTGGCATTCTGGCTTTGTGACCTCTGCAGTCTGCACGTTGATGTGGTTCGCCGGCCCATATTCAGTGGTTTTCCCACTCACAAAGTCGCCATTTCACCAAAACGCGGCGGCTGATCAGTGAGCCGCTCAGGTATTTACCGTAGTACTGTATTGTCTCCGTTATTTACCCCAACACTGTATTGTCTCAGTTGTTTATCCCAGTACTGTATTGTCTCAGGTATTTACCCCAGTACTGTATTGTCTCAGGTATTTACCCCATCACTGTATTGTCTCCGTTATTTACCCATGTTGTATGGTGTCCGCTCAGTTATTTACCCCGGTAATGTAGGCATTCGCTCGTATATTCGCCCGGCTGCTCTATTCGCTCGAAGTCATTTCTCCACTCAAGAGGAATGGGCTCCAAACCCTTACCTTAGCTCGCAGCACTCGCCTTTATTGAGCGCGGGGGGCGAGCTCAGGAATTATTCGGGAGAGGAATTATTCAGTCAAGGAGTTATTCTCGTTCAGTTTGTGTAATTTGTTTCCTGCATAGGAGAGAGATAGAGCGGGTCGGCCCGACTCGGCAGCGGTACGGACCGTAGCCGTCGGCGGTTTGACGGACGGCGGTGCTGACTGTGTAGTTGTACTGACGCTGTACTGTACTGACGGTGTGTCGTACTGACTGTACTGACGCTGTACTTCTACTGACGCCATGCCGGACTGACGCCGTGCTGTACTGACGGTGTGTCTGCACTGACTGTGTACTGACACTGCGTGGTACTGACGGTGTGTCTGTACTGACTCTGAAGTGTGCTGACGCTATACCATACTGACGCCGAGCCGCAGTTCAAGTCGCGCCGGTCGCCCGGGCCGCCATCGATTCTCACGGACCACTGCACCAGCGCTGACGGCCGCCAACGACCGCGGCCCCATCCTCCTCTGCCTGTGACAGAGCTGGCCGTGCGGCGGGGGGGGGGGGGTACTGAGGGGGGGGGGGTATTGTCGGGCTTCCAATACTGTCTATTGGTGAATCAGAAATGGTGTTATTGACACCTAATGTACATTATTTACAACAATTTTACGCTGATAGGTACAATGGGGACCGAGTGTCTTCTCACCTTCCCCTTTATAGCATATGGCCCGCAGGATTTGCGATAGGCTGTTGGCACATGCCCCGCGGTCTGTATCTCTTTCCATTAGTATCCAAACTGGGCTTTTGCGAGTTCAACACTGAATGGTATACTGTAGTTCTGGTCGTCGTTGAACATGCTTTCTTTGATATCGTACTCCGAAACGTTTCTCATAAAGTCAAGAGCTGTACTTTTAGCAGTTGTCTGGTGCGAATTGCGGTCGTTAGCCGAATATAGATGTCTGGTGATTGGATCGTCAGGTATAACCCGCTGAACCGATCCTGACTTTGTGGCCCGGTTCGGACGACCCGGGCGCGGCGCGCTGCCAAAATCCATCTCACGGAGATGTGCTCCGGGCGGTGGGAGCCGCTGTCCGGGCCGGGCAGCTATATCGTAACGGAGCCCGGCCGGCGGGAGCGGCTCCCCGGGCCGGGCAGCTGTATCGTTACGGAGTGGGACGCAGGTGGGACGGGGTGGGTCTGAGTGCCCGCTACCGGCACCCCTCAGAGTCGGTGGGTCTGAGTGCCCGCTGCCGGCACCCCTCAGATTCGGTGGGTCTGAGTGCCCGCTGAAGGCACCCCTCAGAGTCGGTGGGTCTGAGTGCCCGCTGAAGGCACCCCGAGTCGGCCTCTGAGCATGTGGATATTGGAGCAGGACAGGGTCTGCCATGGAGTCACCTATCGTGTGACGTGTCGGGCTTCGGTCCGTGGAACGTGATAGCAGTTGGACACAGCGTCTTATATCGCTCCTGCATTTGCAACGTTTTTTTTCTTAAACAATATCCTTTATTGTTTGGAAACGAAGCACACCACGCGAAATTATCGCCCTTCTAATTTAGAGACGTTACAGCTTGTTTGTCACACGACACATCGAACTAGAAACATACGCACACATATATTGCTTACAATGTGTTACCTTATTCTAGGACATTGCAAGCCCAACCCAGTGACTCTTCACTGTTCGGTGCATGTCAACAGCCATGGGCTCACATACCTCTCACGCCACCCTTCCCTAAGTCACAACGGTGACTGGTTCCACGTCACCCCCCTCACGATGCAACACCGCGCCACCAACGCGTTACTGCGCCACCAACAGGCAACCGCGCCATCAATACGTCACTGACGACCCCACGGCCGCCGCGCCATTAATACGTCACTGACGGGCCCTGCTCCGCGCTCCCAGTTTATCACGGCAGGGCGCGGTGGCCGGTCACGCCGTGTTACGCCGTCACGGCCCGGGTGTCCGTGTCACGGGCGTTACGCCGGTCCGTGCAGTCTGCCCGGTCAGCAATGTCCGCCGGTGGCCGGGGCTCGACCGGCCGGCCTTCTTTGGTGCTCTAGACTAGGACTAGCAGTGGAGCATATGAACTTGAAGCACCTGCTGATTGCTCGCATACATGTTTAGCGTGATCCTGGCGATATGACCTTCTATCACTGTGCACTGTTAGTTCGGTCTGGCGACGTTTTCATAGAGGCTGTGTTTACGTATTGCCGCACTCCTGGCGCGGATGGGGGCCCCAGCGGCTCTCTCGGCCCCGTGGTCCCGCGCCTCAGCCGCCTGCGAGCCTGGCTGGGTCCTCTGCTCCTTATAGCGACACTGGCCGGGGTCCTCTGCTCATGACAGAGACCCTGGCCGGGGTCCCCTACGCCGGACAGTGTCCTGTGCTCCGGACAGTCGGCTCAGCTCTGGCCGGCCACGGTCTCAGCTCTGGTCGGGCCGCGGTCTCGGCCGCGGTCTCAGCTCTGGCCGGCCGCGGTCTCAGCTCTGGCCGGCCGCGGTCTCAGCTCTGGCCGGCCACGGTCTCAGCTCTGGTCGGGCCGCGGTCTCAGCTCTGGCCGGCCGCGGTCTCAGCTCTGATCCGGCGGCGGTCACAGCTCTGGTCGGGCCGCGGTCTCAGCTCTGGTCGGGCCGCGGTCTCAGCTCTGGCCGGCCGCGGTCTCAGCTCTGGTCGGGCCGCGGTCTCAGCTCTGGTCGGGCCGCGGTCTCAGCTCTGGTCGGGCCGCGGTCTCAGCTCTGGTCGGGCCGCGGTCTCAGCTCTGGTCGGGCCGCGGTCTCAGCTCTGGCCGGCCGCGGTCTCAGCTCTGGTCGGGCCGCGGTCTCAGCTCTGGTCGGGCCGCGGTCTCGGCCGCGGTCTCAGCTCTGGTCGGGCCGCGGTCTCAGCTCTGGTGGGGCCGCGGTCTCAGCTCTGGTGGGGCCGCGGTCTCAGCTCTGGTCGGGCCGCGGTCTCAGCTCTGGTCGGGCCGCGGTCTCGGCCGCGGTCTCAGCTCTGGTGGGGCCGCGGTCTCAGCTGCACTGGCGGCGGCTGGTGGCCGCTCCGCTGGCTGAAGTCAAACACGTAGCAGCGACCCGTCTGGCGCCAGTCGGGACTGAGCTCGGACGGCGGCCGGCGCGCCCGCAGACTGCCCGTCTGCGCGGCGGTGGCGGCGGCGGCCGGCAGCGCCGGGCCGCCCGGTCCGGAGCCGGTCACCGCCGGGCGCACGGTCCGCCGCAGCGGCAGCGTGTGCGCGCCGTGCTTGGGCTGCGCGCCGACCACGCGCGGCCCGGCAACGGCCACGAAGGCGGGCTGCTGGCGCGCCTGGGCCACCAGGTGCGCCAGCCGGGAGGGCGCGCGGCCGCCGCGCGGCCCGTGGTACGTCACGGAGACGCCGCAGCGCCGGATGGCGGCCAGCGCCTCGGCCGAGATGGGCCGCACGCCGCCGTCGGCCGCCGACAGCGCCGAGTCCGAGCCGGAGCCGCAGCCGGAGCCGGAGCCGCACTCGGAGCCGGAGTCGGAGTCGGGCCGCGCCGGCTCGGCGCCGTCACTGCCCACCTCCGCCCCGGAGTCCCCGGCGGCGTCCCCGGCGGCGGCGGCGGCGGCGGTGCGGCGCGCCCGGAACAGCTCGTGCAGCTGCTCGTGCAGCAGACTGTGGCCGGCCGTGTCCGAGCGCAGGATCTTGCTGCTGGGGTTGGCGCGGATGCCGGAGAGGCGCGCCGTATCGCGCCACAGCAAGTAGCTGTCGGGCTCGGCGCGCGCCAGCCGCTCGAACCGGTCGGCCACGCGGCGGACCGTCTGTGGCGGCGGCAGCTCGCCGCCGGCCTCTGGCGGCGCTCCGTCCGCGCCGGCCTGGGACTGGCCGCCGGCGCCGGCCTCCTCCACCGGCGGCGGCGGCGGCGACGTGTCCACGATGATGATGTTGTCGTTGACGAGCAGGTCGGCCAGCCGGTACTGGCCGAGGATGTCAGTGCCGCGGTGGCGCGCGCGCAGGGCGCCCACGGTGCGCGGACGTCGGCGCGCCGCGTGCGCGGCCACCCAGCGCCGTGTGGCCTCGGCGCCGTCCGCGGCGGCCGGCGGCTCGGCACCGCCACCGCCACCGCCGCCCAGGTGCGCCAGTCCGAGGATCTGCCGGCGCGAGATACCGCCGGCGCCGCAGTGAAACTCGTCCTCTTCCGAGCCGCCGGCCGAGCTGCACTCCCCGTCACTGCGGGCAGGGGGGGGGGGGTCAGTCACTGCGGGTAGAGGGGGGCGTCAGTCACTGCGGGCAGAGGGGGGGGGGGTCAGTCACTGCGGGCAG